TCTCTGATGTGTTTGATAGTCAGTTGTCAGAATGTTATAAAAAACCTACAATTTTTAGCAAAACAAAGAAAATGAAAATTTTTTTTAAATTTTTAATAACAATAACTGCTTAAATTGCAACGTTACTTAAGTTACTGCCTTTTGATTTATTTAGTTATTTATTTAGTTTAAATCTGTTTTGTTCATTTTGTATTTCATTTGATTTCATGAACTTGCAGCACAAAGTTAAGGATTTAGTTTAATTATTAACCCTTCAAGCTTTTGAGGCAGCTGAGCCCCGTGTCATTAATAAATAAGCTAATTGAAACATTCCTTATTTTTGTTAATGTATTGTCAACCTTGACAAGAAATTTGAGCGAGTGCATTTAGAACATTAATGATACAAATCCTAAATGTTTGTCTTTCCAACCAAACATTACAGGTGTTCTACACTGCAGTCAACTCAAACTCCACATTTTCAAAACAGTGAACACAGGCCTACACAGAGATGGTCAAAGTCACACATTTTATTCCATAAAGCCAAAACATTTAAAATATAAAACAAAAGCAAATGCAGCAATACAACTTGCAACCAAGTTAATGAACTCGTCCAACCAATCATTACATAATGGACAACAAAATACAGCACGTAGTGAACCATTACTTCTTTTAGCTTGTTACATTGCTCTCATGCTATTTGTTATCTTTCTACACATGCTGTATCAAATGTTGCTTCATGAAAAGATCCAGAATCAGAAATACTTTGATGTAAATTTTGTTGATTCCATTATAATTTTTCAGACTGTGGCTGAAAACTGAAATACTGCAAACATTACTAAAAAAATACTGTAAACATATTTATGGCAGCTGAGTGGTTAGGGGAGTCGTCCTGGAACTGGTAGGTTGCCAKTTCAATCCCCCGCAAGGATTGCCCTTAAAGACAAGGTATTTCGCCACAACACGCCTGATTTGAATGAATGGGTGATTGCCAAGCCTAGAAAAAACTTGAGAAGGGAATTCAATAACTGAATCAGGTGTGTTGAATCAGAGGAACAAGTAAAACATGCATGACAGTGACCCTTGAGGACCAGCTAACCAATGGACCATCTTTGGTAAGGGAGGGTCAGAGCACAATGCAGCCAGAGCACTCAATGCTTACTCTCATCATGGCATCATGTACCCAACCTGTATGGTCCTTTCTGCAGGTGAGCCCACAGGAAGGCAAAACCATGTTGTTCATTCTCACCAGATGTTAAATGATTAGCCCCTCAGTCCTGGCTTCACAGTGGTGACCCATGCCTCAGCAAGGGACATCAAGTTCCTTGTTTTCTTAAGTTCATACAAGTATTTTGAATCACTCTTTGTCTGGCCTGTTATTTAGGACCAATCTGAAATGGGAGATTTTATTGACAGTATAGCTACTAGGATCAGCTCCACCACCACAAGGTGACAAAATAAAAGGAAGAGAACAATCAAATAAATTTATCAAAATAATCTACTATAACATTGGACTGTTGTGCTCTCATGGAACATACAATCCATCATTAAAATATTTTATGGTAGTACAGATTTCTTTAATAAAGGCCTGTCTCCACAGACTCTGGGGCCTACAGGCAAAAAAGGTCTAAATCCAACTGTTTTGCCACTTGAGACTTGGCTCATATCAGTTTTTTATTGTTTTATTTTTTTCTAATTTGACACAGGTCCCTTTAACATGTAGTCCTAATCTGGATGCATATAAATGTATCCAATTCAGATAAGATATAACTAATCTAAATGGTCATATCACATTTCATCTGACTTTTACATCACTAAACAAAGGGTATGCAGATAAATCAATATATTGATATAATCCATACAATGGGTATACAATTCATATCCTCCAGTGCCAGTATCTAGCATACTTTAAAGGTTTCTCTGTTTCAACACACCTTATTTGAAAGAGTGGGCAGATAACAGGCTTCTGCAGAACTTGGAGATAATTTAATCATTAAATCAGGTTTGCTGTGACAGACAAGTAAAGTCATGTAGGATAGTGTTGAGAACCAGGATTGAACACCCTTGGTTTACACTAATGTCATGCAGTTTTAAGCTTGAAACTCCATGTCTTTAGCTACAAGGTACTGTATGTATGTATGTATGTATGTATGTATGTATGTATGTATGTATGTATGTATGTATGTATGTATGTATGTATGTATGTANTATTTATTTATTTATTTATTTGATTTGATTTGCCATGTCCCGGATGACTGAGAATCTATATAAACAATTAAGCCAACACTGGTCTCAAATTTTAAACTAGCTTGATGGGATTTATAGCTTGTTTTTCTCTACTGTCTTTGCTCCTGTTTCAGAATTAAGTTTGAATGAGTAGACAGTGACAAGATCAAATATAAACTTTGAACAAAACAAACATGCCAGATCATTTTGCCAGTTCTAATTCCATATTAACTTCAGAATTAACACATGCTTGCTAAAACGTGTAGCATCACTTCAATAAACACAGCCTCCTGCCTGTGACATCATGTCTTCTTTAACACATGTAGGAAGTCAGGACCATAAATTGTTCACACTAATTGGATCTTAGCAAAAATTCAAATTGAGTATTAAGAACTGCAGTGTGAATAAAACCTAAATGAGTCAGAAAAGTGTGTTTTACAGTTACTTATCTGCTTTAAAGAAAGCAATATGACCGATTATGTGTGTATTTTTTTAAGTTTATACTTTCAGGATTTGTGGGTTTAATGGCACTAAAATATGATTTAGGCAGCTGGTGGTTGAGTACGTGTTGCAGCAGATGTGACAGCTGAGAACTCAAAAAACAGTTGCAGTGTCAACATGATCAACTCCAAACTGCAGGATCTGCCTAAAACTCTACGAGGAAAACATATACAAAGAAAATGAAAAGCAAAAAGAAGAAACGGCAAAAGATATTTAGGATTTTCTGAAACTCAAACAGGCTGGAGGACAAGTATTATTTAGCCCATAGCAGCAGTAAAGTGCAACAAAATGTCCAGTGTTGGGCCCCACAGCTCACAGTTCCATGATTTTTTTTGGCTGCATACATGTTTCCCTTCGTATGGAATAAATCTTTAAGATATAATTCCTCTGCCTCAAACTGTGTGTTGTGAGGTATGAAAAAGCTTGAAAAGGAAAATTGATTTATTTTGATTTAAAACTGACTTTAGACCTTTCTCTGTAAAATACCAAGCATAGATTTTTTTATTGTGGCTATAATTTGGCTGTGAGTTTTCCTGCACATCCAGCAGAACTGTGATACACATATGATCAATGAGTACATGGCCATTTTTTTTCTTCCAGTGAATTTATCTAAGAAGAACTTGAACTTACCGTAGTCCAATTTGATGTGTTTAAACAACTTAAAAAGGTTGGGGGGACACACTGGTCCTCCGAGTAAAAGCTTTGAATGAAATAGATTATATTTTGTTCATATGGTATTTTATTTTCACACATAAAACACTTGCTTTAATAATTATTTTAGAAATAAATTGTTTTTATGACTTCCACTATGTGAAGCAGGGTCATATTGTTTACATTTTCTTTCTTTCTTAGAATTTTGGTCAACTGTAGCACAGAAACACAGTTTTCTATTTTACCATCAGGATGCAGATTTGCTGTAAAAAGATGTCGAACCAACAGATTTAAGAATTCCTTTTTGCCTGCTGTTATCTTCATTTTAAATACTTCTTGTTCATTGTTGTGTTTGTAGCTTTTACACCTACCATGATGGTTTTTATGTTTTTTTTTTTCGCGGTATTTGTGGTTGATGATTGTTTTTGTTCCTGCTGACTGTGACACAAATTGCCCCATGGGGATATTAAAGATTACTTGAACTTGAACACCTGCACCTAGTTGCATGAAATTTTGTAGGACTATAGATATGGCCGACCTACACTGTGCYARCAAACAGTTTTGCGATAGGAACCATATTTCAGGTACAGGTGCTATTTGAAACTCTGGTGTCTGTCATGAATGACAAAATGACCCAGGGCACAGGCAGGTTTTCAAAAACAAAAAACTCGAGGCCTTTAATGGTTAACAAAAAGAGGGCTGACAACGCAGCAAAACACACTTGACTTGGGAACTTGACAAGGACCAGGGAACATGACCTGGACTGAACACCATGATACACAAACAATGATCCAACACCAGACAGTGACAAGACAGAGCTTAAATACACAGCAACTAATCAGGGAACTTGAAAACAGCTGGGGAGAAATCAGGACTGAGGCAGGGCAGCTGCGCAGACAACACAGGGGAAACATAGAAACACTTGGATAAACAAAGCATAAATGACAGACTATGACAGTGTCTGGACATACAAATATGCTTATAGCTTAAAAACTATTCAACATGAACTTCAGATGTGTATGCCTCTGCCCGAGGATGCATAGTGTTCTCCAGTTGCCCGTCTGTGCGACATTCCATCCATCACACTTCCTTATGTGTATTGTATTTCCTGAACAGAGCTACTGATTTCAGTCAAAATGAACACGACAATTKTTCTTGGCCCAACAAAGGTCTGAAAACATTTTGGGACAAAGTTCAAAGCTGAAGATCATGTAAAGTGGTCTTTGTTGCTTGAATTCCCTTATTTTGGATGGTAACATAAAAGGTTGGTTACTGAAATTAATGATATGGTAAATATCAAAAGTGAACTTATGTTCCTTTACATTGCTGAGTAAAGGAAGCCATTTTTGTGAAGAAAAAATGTCCATCATTGAATAGGGGTGGAGGCCTTTGTGTCCAGTTGTCTCCTTCTTACAATGCTGTTATTGCAAGTACAACCCCTGGCAAAAAGTATGGAATCACCAGTCTTGGATGAGCACTCATTCAGGCATTTCATTCTGTAAAAAAAAACTCAGATCAAAAACATGTTGCAATAATAAGGTCATTCCAAAGTGCAACTTGTTGGCTTTCAGGAACACTCAAAGAAATGAAAAGAAAATATTGTAAGTATGGAATCATGAAAAACAGATAAAGAAAAGACCATTCAAAATACATCACTAGTAGTTAGTTGCACCAC